TGAGCAGAGCTCCCCTACATCCCATCCGCGCAACTACATGCATCCAATGAAGGGAGTGACCCCATGTGCCCATGAGCGAGGACTGTTCGCACACACACCTACCCACACACGCACGCGCACACACACACACACGCACATGTGCGAGAACAAGGAGTGGCCAAGTCTCCATGAGAGTCACCACTTTTTGAACCGGCGTGACCTGCGACCTCAGCATTCAGGTTTCGTCCAGGCTCTCTCAAGCCATCGAGGTCACGTGGGCTGAGGCCGCGGCCCATGGACGACCATGGCCAGCGGAGCCAATGCCAAGTATATCGCCATGGCGCCTGAGCAGGTTCAGGGTTCACACGCGTCGATGTAAGCTTCGACTCGATGTCAGGATGCGGCTCTTCATTGTAGCAGGCTTGCTGCAGAAGGGACTTCGAGCACAATTGAATTGAGCCCAAATTCCTTGCTGCGCCAGATTTCGCGGTTATCCTCGCATTCCTTTTCAGTGGTCCCATGCATGACCCTGCTCAGCCTGTGTTGCACTTTTGGTTGTGTTATTCGACTTCTCTCTGCACCGTGCAATTCGGATCCAGTGGTCGACGGGAGATCTCAGCTTGGGAACGCCACCTGAAATGGAAAACCTTAGCGGCGCAGTGGCACGGCTCACGCGTGCATTGGGAAATCGCAGCACACGGCTCTCTGGCACTGACTGCAGAAATACACACATATTTTGATGGGGATGTCAGAAGGGAGCGTAAGCTGTAAGCAAAGCCCGTGAAGAGCAATCTGTTTATAGCAACAAAACCACATTCGTGGCTACATCTTATTTCGTTCAGTTAATTAACTCTTCTCTCATTTCATTCCTACGCAGCCAAAAAAATCCAAAAAATCGAAATGAGAGTTCATCAAAATGAAGCTTTATCAAAATCAAAGGTGTGTACAAAGTGATCGAGAATCACCTGTGTGTGTGTGTATGTATACGTATGTATATATATACATATATATATATGTTAGACCAGTTTCCACGATCTACACTACTCGGCTCACTCGCTGAACAGCCTGCAGTCGCTCACCTTTTTCGTGCGACCGCAACGTGGGAGTCGGCCACAGATCTGAACAAAAGTTCTCTCGATCTTCACAAGTCCGACCGGAAACGCCGATCGCCGCAGCATTGGCATATGCCAAAGACCGCACCATCGGCCCGATCGGACACATCAGACGAGAAAACTTCCCCGCGCCAAATGTAAAAGTCCTCGATCGGATCATCGTAGCAGCCGCGAACCGCGTGCCCATCTTCTTGCGCTCGACCTTCGTCTGCCAGACCACCCCATAGAGAACCTCGTATTTCATAACGAGCGTCTCCGGTACGACATGGAGCGCATCGTCGAACCGCAGGGACGAGTAGACCATGATCAAGATCCAGCATGCGAAGAAGGCCAGCAAGATCTGGTTCGAGCGGAACCTGGTGCATACGAATCGCTCAAGTGCAGCCACCAGAGCCGGAGGTATAGGGACCGCCTCTCGCGTCTCTTTGCCTCGATCGCCATAAACCTTCTTCTGCAGAGCCATTATGCGAGCGTCCAGCAAGTCGCATCCCGATCCGTGGAGCCGGGCGCAAAACACCGACCAAAAGATATCACCCCTTCGCAGCGATCGCCGCCTACTCCACCGTCGAACTGTCCATCGTGCAGGGTGGTGGCTGCGTCTCTGGCCCCGTCTCCTCCACCCTGACCGCGCTGATCCGCTCGTACTCCGCCGCCTCGCGATCAGACACCTGCAGTGTGCCAGCCGCCGAGTCTGCCCTCGCATGCGATCTCGGGCTTCCGTGAGCATCTCCTCAGCGCGACTAGCTGAAGGGACCTCGCTTTCCGCCAAGGGCCTCTGACCGTACGCCTGCTGAGGTCGGACATTGGTGATCGCGGAAGTCGCCGAGGACCCGAGCTGCCGCACCGCGTATCTGGCCGCCTCTTCCAAGCGCAGGCGGGCTACTTCGAGCTTCCAAGGCCATGCCCTCTTCGTGCGAGCGATGGGCCAGAGCTTCTTGGCGCACGAGCTCCGGAGGGTTCACGCGCAGCTTCGAACGAGCCCGCACATGGAAGTCCTCGCCCCCGAGCCAGAACTCGTCAGCGTAGGTTCCTGGATTCTCAGCGCGAGAGCTGTGGTACCAGGGCGCGATCACCGCCGAGAGCTGCGCGAACTGCTGAACGTGGTCGGGACCTTCCACGCGAGCCCTTTGCTGTCGACAGGCCTGGATCGCCTTGATCAAGGCAGGCCCGGAGATGTGGCTGACCGAGAGCCGATTCCGAGGTACAGACGTTCGCGCGTACTTGAGGTCGATCCGGTTGTCGGCATCCCTGAACCGGAACTCGACTCGATCGGCGTCGTTACCATAGCCCTCTCGTGACGACCGAGAGGTCATACGGAGCTCGCAGTTGCTCATAGCATGATCGCTCGCCACCACTGATCCCCGTGGCCCGATCGTGTACACTCTGGCGCCCACCTCGAACGAGACTTTCCACGCCACGAACACCGAAACGACGATCGAAGGGCGGAACCAGCCGTCGTTGGCAGTCCTGATCAAGACCTCGTCACAGAACTGCTGCGGGACCGAGAGATCAGAGTCCGAACAGTACCCTCGGAACACCCAATGGACCCAATGGAAAAGGACCTCATTTCCATTGACGACCTTCACGTCAACATAGGTGGCCGTGCTGTCGAACATGACCGGCCACGTGAAAGGCTGAAAGGCCGGGTGCGACAGAGCCTTGCTCGCATGGGAGTCCCACTGAGCACAGATGCCATCGAGCGTATAGTTCGCGAACAGCGAGCAGTGGTAGCTCGAGTTTGGGGGTATGATTTTTCGGCTGCTGCTGGCCATGAAAAGGTCCAGCAGGAGGGAACGACATTGCTGCAAACGAATGAGCCATCCTGTTCTCACGATCTTTTAGATATGGGCCGATCGGCTTATTGCCAGAATGGCCACGGATAAAACAGGATCACGGCTGTTCTGACGCTCGCAAAACTGATCTCCTAATTCCTACCCACCAGACCGACAATTAGGAGACGTACGTTGTAGGTACTCATAACGTTCCATCCGGACTTCAGCGCCGGTCACGCGAGTGCAAGGGGCCATACCAAAGAGAGCTCGCACATCGCGAACTGCTCAGTGTTCAAAACACATGGTACGGCCCAGCCCCCGTCGGTATGCTTGAGCAAGACGACCACAGTGACGATCGAGGAAAGATGGTCCAACTTCCAATTCAATTCAAGCTTTGTTTCAGGGCAGGTGCCCGACCTGGATCACATTCTTGCGACCTTTGAACCCAACAGTGGATCACCAAGCTTGACAGGGACTATGAATGTCATGACTGCCGCTGCTGCAGCCGCTGCTGCTACCACCGGATCCGGAACCAAGACAGCTACTAGACTACTACTACTACTACTACTACTCCTGCTGCTGCTGCTGCTACTACTACTACTACTACCACTACTACTACTACTACTACTACTACTACTACTACTACTACTACTACTACTACTACTACTACTCCTGCTGCTGCTGCTGCTACTACTACTACTACCACTACTACTACTACTACTACTACTACTACTACTACTACTACTACTACTACTACCACTACTACTACTACTACTACTACTACTACTACTACTACTACTACTACTACTACTACTACTACGGCCACGACTACCACTACCACTACAACTACCACCGACTTTTCCGTGGTGGCACCAGCAGGGGTATCGACGATCCTGAGAACCAACGCATTTCATCATATCAGTGTGAATGACAACAATACCCGAGAACCGCATGCTGACTGGTTTCCATGCAAGTCCTGCTGAGTTCCAGGCTGTGACGGGACACGAACCTGCAAGGCTCAAAGCATTCCAGGAGGCTCCAGGCAGTCGGGACGGTCCTGCTTTTCGCGATTGGCTGGTATCTTTCCACCTTTCGCGTACTTCTTCCTCAAAGCATATGGCATATGGAATAGCTGCGATCAGGAGGAGATTCGAGGCAACCCAAGCCGCGTCGTGAGGCATGCGGTGCATTGCAGTTTCTATAAACCAGGAACAAAGAGACGAGCAAGGCCGAAAGAATCTCACAAGCCAACCCGCCTCTGCGAGTGTGTATGAGTTGCAGTTTTGTTGATCAGTCATCCAAGTAGTTGCGGAGTCAGGATGACGAAAAAGTGGATTGATTAGAAAGAGGCTGGAGGGACTGCAGACACCGTTGACGACATCTTCAATCTCCAACAGCACCACTCGGCATAACTGCACGGGTAGCAGATACTCTATGCTCTGCGACACACGTGGATCTTCACCAGTGTGACGAGGCAGGAACATGCTCCGACATGTGCAGACAGGTCTCGGAGCGCCTCTGGGATAGTCAGCCGGCAACTCCAGGATCTCCAAGTGCGCATGCTGGCAAACATCAAGACGAAGCATCAAAAAACTCTGGTCAAATCGGCCAATCAGGTGAGCCCTGCGAAACGGCGGTGCGCTGACGAAAGGCTTTTTCAAAAGACAACTGAAGATTGAAACACTCACTAACGTGACCTGTGCCTGCCCTCTTTACGACATTCTCTTCTGAAAACCCCCGCACATCGATTTGGACAACTGTCATCCGACAAAGACTCTCACGCTGAATGCCCGTGTGTAAGGAGAGGAGTGGACTTCAAAAATGTGTGGGATGTAGATCTTCCGGAGTGAGGGACAACCAAACTACCTGACCATGAGATCAAGTCAGCACGGGGAACCCGGACAAGTAACTCCCTGGCAGTTGCTGCCACATCGCCAGCTCGATCGACCACGGCAATGACCACCTGCCAAGCCAAGAACCAAGAGAGCGTGGCATGTGACAGGTCCGATTTGCAAGTAGCGCACTGCACAGCAGCTCTTCCCTTTCTGCCCACGGCATCCGCCGCAATGCCAGTTCTTGGCACTTTGGCCTCACGGAGCACGTGCAGCCCCAAGCATCATGGGCCCAGCTCGGACCGTCAGACTTTCTCGAGCATCTCGAGGGCCTCCTGGAGGTCCGCCACCTGCGCGGCACCGGGCGAAGGACCCACACAAAACAGGAAATCTCGCGGAAAAACACGCAGGCGACGAAGCGAGCAGGCGAATGCAGGCGACGTGCGCGCCTCCTGTTTCCGCTGTGCCTGGCGCTCCGCGTAGGAGGCGCCGGTGTCAAGGCAGTCGGGCCTCAGCTTCTCGAAGTAGGCCTTTGCGGCGTCCAGCTCCTTCTGCGTGCCCTGCAAGTCCGCCCGAACTGCAGTGAGCTCCTGCGTCTTGGCCTGCTTCTTGCTGGTCTTGTGCTCCGACGTTCGAACTTTGGTGGCTTTGTCAACCTTGGAGTCTTCCATGAATTCCTGGTACTCCTTGAGCCCAGACTCCTCGGCGGCCTCCGTCTCTGCCTGCAGCTGTGCGAAGTCGCTTTGGATCACCTCCAACATGGAGATCACACCGCCGCTCTCGCCGCCCATGCCGGTGTAGGGCTCGTCGCCGAAGACTTCCGGCTCGGCCCGCGCCTCCCCGTGCCGCGTCTGCAGCAAGGAGCTGGCGCCGGCGGCTTTCTTGTAGAAGTCTCGGAGTACGAGCAGCGCTTGGGCCACGGCCGCCTGCGCCTCCTTGGCATCCTTCACTGTGGCAGCATTCTTGGCACTCTCCTCCTCCCGCATCTGCGTGGCTTTGGCCATGTCAGCTTCTAACTCTGAAACCTGCTTGGCCAATGCCGAGACCTCCTCGCCGAGCTTGCCGATGGCCGTGGAAAGCTCGTCTGCATCCGAAGAGAGCTCGTCCACGGCGTCGGTCTTCTCCTCACGGGTGGCCTTGTTGGATGCCAGCTCGGCATTGCACCAGCCATTCTTGCTGGCCTCCTCGTTTTGCTGTGTCTGCATCTTCGTGATCAGCTGCTCGATCATCGTTCGCACCTTGGCAATGGGATCCGCGGCCGCCCGACCGGCCACGGCGGAGAGCACGCGGCTGTTCAAAGCCGCAGCCCGCTGCTGCAGGAATCGCGCCACCCTAGAGCTCTCGCTCTGCGGCTCCCGCACCTCCGAGCGCAGGAATGCCAAAGCCGTCCTTTTTGGACTGGCTTGCAACAGGCTGGGCAGGTGCTTCTCTGCACTGCCAGCCACTGCCCCGCCGGCGATGATGCCTTTGGCTTTCTCGATCGCCTCAATCTCCTCTTGTCGCAGCTTCTGGCGCGCCGCAAAGGCCGCGGCCTTCTTGCTGCAGGTGGCCTTGAGGTCTGTGGAGTACTTCTCGTCAGACTGCTTCTCGACCTTAGTCTCACCCAAGTCGCCCTCGGATGAGGCCTTGCTCTGTAGCTGCTTGGCCTTGAACTGGCCCTTCTCCTCCTGCTCCTTCTTGGACTGTGCCAGTTGCGCCTCCAGGCTCTGGACCAGCATCTCGAAGGCATGGCGCTTCTTCTGCTCTTCTTTCTCCAGGCTGATGCGCTCGTCGACAAACTTATCCTGAAGGCCCTCGAGCATGCTAATGACGCCCCCGGACTGGAACTCGTAGGTCTTCGGCGCCGGACCCTGTATGTCCAGCAGACTCTGCCGTGCCTCCTCGGGGAGGAGCTTGGCATCCGCCAGCTGAAGCAGGGCTGTCTTCTTGTCCTCCTCCTTCAAAGCCTTCAATGCACGGGCGATGGCATCGATGGACTCGCCGTAATCCTTCAGGGTCAGCTGGAAGTCCGTGCGGCCCTTCTCACGGACGCCCGTGGCCTTCTCCTTCTCCGCCGTCGCGGCCTCGATGTCCGTCTGATGCTCCGACATCTCCTTGCCCAGGCGCTCCGCCTCCGATGCCGCCTTCTCGATGTCTGCCTCGAGGGTCTCGATCTTGTCGGCCGCTTCACCGATGGCCGCCTCCTTCTCCGCCAGCGTCATGTCGCAGAACTGCTTGAACTTCGTGTATTGGACCTCCTCCTCCTGCATCTCCTTCGTGCCCTTCTCCTTCATGTTCTCCAACAGCTGGACCACCTTCTGCACCGGAGTCACCTGCACCTGCGACCTCAGCGCGACGCTACAAAGCATGACCCAGCCGACTGGGTGCTCCAAGGCCAAACTCAGGCGCACGCGCGAGGGCGGCAGAGGCCAGCGCCAGGAGCAGGCGGAGAGACTGCATTGTACTGAAATTACGGGGGCCAAAGCCAAAGCATGGCTTCGAGCCTTGAGCCTCTCAGCTAGGACCCGGACACGCAAGTTCGCTGCACCCACATGCACATTTCGAGCAGGGTCTTTTCTGCCCACTCTGGAGATTCTTGTCTGTGCAGGGCATTCGGATGTGCGTTGCAGAAGATGTTGAAACAGCTTCTTGCGCTGTAAAAGGTTCTAAAATGCAAGAAGCCAGCTTGAAAGCCATGAACATCTCAAGGAGCACCCTCTCGACCTTTCGGCTCTTCATGGAAAAGCTAGGATCAAGAGGCGCTTGCAGCATCAGCCGCGGCGACGGGATCTTCCAGTCCGTCACAGATACGCTGCAATGTAAACACCGATGCATTCCTTGGGTATGGACCATGCATGCAGCGAACTTCAGTGCACACCACACCGCAGCAAAGGTTTTGAACATTGTATTCAGGCGTCTGGGTGCGAATGAGCAGTGAGAAGCACTCCTTCGACAAGCGCTACAAAGTAGGGCAGTGCAGCGGAAGCAGGGTAGCGTGACATAGCTTGCATGGTCTACGCTCGGCAATGACCGACGCGGCCTCGTTGATCCAGGAGGTCTGCTTTGCACTCAGCTGGGACTCTTGCAGGACTGCCTTGACCGTCAACTTTTCGAAGACCTCGGGCTGACATGGCTTGACCAATGCTTCATGTTCGGGCCATCGTCCGAGGCGCATCGGGAATCACACACTTGAGATCCTCCTCGCTGATCATGCCGTCACCATCGAAGTCGAAGAGCCTTGATTGGGCCACCGGGCGCAGCAGGGGTATCTCGAGAGAGTCTGCTCAGCTCCCATCCTGAATGCGGCGCTGATGTGAAGAGGATCCGTGTACCAGGCCTGATGACGAAGTGCATTGCTGCAAATCTGCCAGAACTCTAGCCTGCTGATTCGAGTGAAGTCGCAGGGTCTGCTGTTGCTGCGAGCCATTCGGAATAGCTAATGTGCCTTGGCGGTCAATAGAATCTCGAGAGTCCGTCAACACAGATTCAACCGTCCTGCAAACTGCCCGGGCTAAGCATCGGCACCCAGTGCCGGTCGCATCAACCTGATCAAGGCAGGGGCACACGCACTTCACAAAAGCAAAAAGAGCGCACTCTCATCCAGCCGTCATTGCTTTAGATTGGTGGTGTGCGCTTCTTCTCATCATGTGATCAACAGAACTGGCACAACACGCATCTGTGCGATCCTTGTTGACGAGGCGTGCAACATCCTCTCGAAGCTCCTGCAGGAAGCCCCTCGATGCTCTCCTGCTTTGCCACATCTGCTATGGCCCCACCATCTGGAACTTCTTCATTATGCATTCCAGCGGCTGCCTGCCACCAGCCCAAGCAGCTGAAGCAGCTCAAGCCCTGCAGACATTCCACTGCCTGGAAGCTGCCTGTGGCACTCGCCGCCTCTCGAGAGCCGCAGAGCACGGATCCACGGTGCGACTCAGTGCGACTGCGGCGCGTTTCGCGAGATCTGCCCCTCCGACTTCTCGCTTCCTGCAACAAAGCGTTCTATCGCTGGCACTAGCTTCGCCGGTCTGGGCCGTGGGCCCCTGCGATGGACTTGCGCACCATCTTCCGCATGTCATCCAGCCTCAACTCCACTGTAGGGCACAGCATTCACGGCACGTTGCCTACACTCTGCCGGAAGGCATCTCTTCACTCAGCGCGCCGTAGATGTCTTCCTGGCATAGGCAGCATGGAACTGTTGCAACCTGTCAGCTGTCTGCATCCTTTTTGCAACACAGGGAAAATCCTGCTACATTTCAGCATCTGGAGGTGATGGGCATTAGATACATGTTTTCGTCTGCGGGAAGGATTGGCTGCGAGTCACGGACAAGGACACAAGAGCAGCCAGTGAATACTAAATGACCGAGGGCCCTGGGAGCTCCACATCCTGACTAACATGACAAGGCTCGCAACCAAAAGTTCCAGCCCTGCTCCAGGAACATCCCAGTAAATTGAACAGAACTGGGATACAGCCAACATGCCCCACTACAAACCTCAAAGCCAGGGTTCGGCTCAACTCCCGGTGGGCGGCTTCACGGCTGAAAGGATGCGGAACCCGCAAAGGAGAAAGGCGACACAGGTCGCGCACTCGAACCTGTATACACCTAGCACATTTATTGATTTAGCTCCCAAGCAAGAACGGAAACGGGTTGCGTGCCTACCGTTGCAAACTAGAAAGTCCCGTCTTGGGCTCGTGCGGTGTCGATACCACTTGTCAGGTTCCGGTCCAGAGACCTAGAGTGCAAGACGTCGGCACTTGGTGTGGAGCTCTGTGGTTTGAGGGCAAGGCATGAAGCGCTCGATGCTCGGGGCAAAGTCTGCATCAGACTCCGCCCGCGTGACCTTGCCCGCATTGACGGCATGCGCTGCAGGCTTTCGGCTTTCGATCGAGAAAGCCCGGACAAGGTTTGAGCGCGTAGCCATGGCAACGATGGCGGCCTGACACCAACCGCATCAAGTCGTCCGACAGTGCTACCTGCGCTCTCCTGTTCTCCGACTCCAAGCAGCGCGCCTTCTTCAGCAAGGGGAAAGACCCGTAGGAATACCTTTGCACAGGCACGCTTCCAAGCTCGAGCATGCAAGGATGAATGACAAGTTCCGGGTGTGACAATCGAATCTTCAACTGCCCTGAAACACGCCTGAGGCTGCGGCATCTGGTCCAAAAGCTGAGCGTCCAAACGTGCGGAGCGTGCTCGCAAGCGCCGTGCAGAGCCCTGAAGAACAGGCGAACGTAGAACCTTGCAGTGTGTCACGGGAACGCATGGTGGGCCTTCCCTACACGAAACATGGTGCAGCACCTCTTCCGCAGAAGGCCTGTCCTGCGGCTCGGGCCTGGTAGAGCGCCGCTCAACCAAGGGGTTCAAGACACGGACACGGCGCTACCCAAGCACCTCGTGAGCAGCTCTAGCAGCGCCCTCGCCTCAGGCGCTGCATGGAATACCAAGTTCTGGCACGCTTGGAGACATGCCGGAAACTCCTCGTCGGACACGAAGTTCAGGCGGATCTTGCTCATGACATAGCTCCCATCCTGGTGCTCGGATGAAACCAACACATCTGGCGACAAAAGTAGCCAGGGCTGCCTCACGTGCTTTGGGAGGATGGCCAGTGAGCAACCAGTGCCTCCACCCACTTGTGCCAGCAAAGAAGCATACGGGACAGCAAGGATATGTAGCTTAGAAACAAGATGCATCCCACGGAGAAGATGTCTGCCTCAGCATGCAGCAGGCTTCACAGAGTGCAGGAAGATACTTTGACAGAGCAGAATCGGGAGTTCCTTCTCATCATACGGCTGATGTCGGAGAATCTCTGGAGCCATGAAGCCGTCGGTGCCACACTTGCGTGTCAGACGGTGCCTCGGGCTCGGGCCCGGTTCTCAGGCGATACCAGCAGTGGCAGCATGCAATGGCTTCTGAATACTCAACGAAGGACTTAACATGGCAGCAGGAGGAGACCCCAAAGTCGGCGAGTTTGATGATGCGGATCTTCCCAGCCAAGTTCTTCCTTCCATTTCTTGGCTACTCATGATAACATGTTTCCGTCTTGGAGGCCCCGGCTGGTCTACTGCATCAGAATCCGGAGCACAGCAAAGAAAATTGCCTGGCCGGCGACCGCAATGTATAGCTGGAGAGTCTATCTCACCCAGTCTACAACCCCCTCCAAGCAAATACACAAAGAGGGAATTTGTGCTTAATAGTGGCTGAATAGTTCAAGGGTTCGCTCAGCTCCAGCTGACCTTTCGGCAAAGCTTGCATCACATCATGCATACCGAACATTCTTTTCGTGTTGGGTTGGTGTACTTGTGCAATATTCGTTGATATTTGGAAATTGTGTAATCATACTTACTCGAAATCTACTGTGTACATAAGAAGTGGTCAACTGCATTCCGTAAACTGTGTCAAGCCAGATCTGACAGCTCACGTTCACGTAATACGCTGTTGGGATGTTACGCGATTTCGAGTTTCGAGTATTTCATGAGCATGTGCCCAATTTAACCGATACAAGTAGTAATGATCATGTTGAAAATTTACGTTGCGGCTAATCCAGCTAGAGAGATACTCTTCGAAGACACGGCAGGCAAGTCCGATCTCGGGTCTAGTGGCTGTGACTCATCTCATTCGGAGAGAGCCGTATTTCGTTCCAGAATGCAAATGAAGTGCCCAAAATGACCATGAACGACCCCATCATATCATGTTAAACATGTTGCAACATGTCATATACTCTACGCATCTGAACGTCACATAAACCAACATCGTATTGAACATTCAGGCATCAAGAGGATTTTCGACAAGTATTACCTAGACTCAGACAGAATAGTGCATAATACTGACTTAATGGCTAAGGAAGACGCACATTCTCAATGTTAGGCAAATACACCTTGAATATGCTTGTAGGTTCACTTACACAAGTCTTACCCAAAAGCTATGCAACTAGCGAACAAGTGCTCCAACAAGCAAAAACTACATACTAGACAGATACCACGTCAGTTGCATGTTAAGTACTTATCATCTGTGATTGATCTACGAAGAAGAAGCTGTCATACGTTCGCTTGCCACCTGCATGATCCCAAAGCTCACATTCACCAGACACTGTAATGCTCAAGACATTCCAACAAATCCAAATTCCGGCATCTGTGGCTGGGTGAGATGCGAAGAATCTCCAAGAGTTGGAAGTTTTCGCCTTGTTGAACATTTGGTGTTTCGTGTCACTGAACCTCACCAAGAAGTGTAAAGCTCAATAATCCATACTCTCTAAACGTGACACTCACAAAATGCCGCAATGCCCAAAAACTTCAACAAATTCAATAGGTTTTGTTTTTCTTTGCCCACGCAACTATAGACTCCAGATTGAGCGGATAGCGTTCGTGATGTTGTCCATGCTTGCAGAGGTTGGCGCATCCCCGAGGCCTATCAACCAACGATTCAGTGCGGATGTCGCGGGCAGGGAGCATACTTTTGTATACATACGCTACTCTTCTCCAAACTGTATGGTATGAGTAACACTGTGGGCTCTTACGTTAAGGGGAAGAGGATTATGGCGCGGGGTACTATCACCACGCAGTGCGCCGCCGATGGCGACCGGACTTGCTTCCAAATCGCGCGCCGTGCGGCTCGCAAGCAGTTTTCGTTGTAGGACAGAGCATCTTGGTGCTCTGGTACTTCGTACATCACGCTCTCGCCACAGCTCCGTGCATACTTTGGGATGCGAATCGCTCCAGGTCCTGAAATTTTCGCAAGGCCACGCTCTTGGACCTTCGAGGTGGCAGTGCGGTCTCCAAACCAAAGCTGTCAAAGGCGATGAAGTTGATCCAAGTCCTCGCCACAGTGCCGTTGACGTTTTGCTTCGCGCATCTTTGCGTGGAAAGGTCGTGACCTGTGTCTCCGAACACTGCCGCTCGCGTGTCCGTTTGTTACGTCTGCAATGCCACCAAGGTTTTGCCTGGCTCCCGAACCATGCACTGTTGACCGTAAACCCTAGACTCAACTCACCCTAAGGTGCTGGACTAAGTGATGACTTCGTGTCTGCAGGCGCTGGAATACGATGTTTACCTCTTGCTGCTCGGTGTGTAGAATGATGCAAGTGTGAAGGCACATGCTTGCATGTAAGATTGTGTATGCCTGGTTGTCTTTGCAGACTATCGATATGCCTACACTCACATGTCAACTCTGGGTCTGTTAGTTATTTACAAAGAGACATTGAGAGTGAGGAACGAAGTTTGGAAACAGCCTGGCTTCAGATCTCGGTGAACGATGCCACGTGAATGCAAGTAGCCCTGGGTGGTTCTGATCTGCCCTGCTGTGCCACATCCAAGAGAAGAAAGTCTGTGCCCATGGCCACGCTGTTGAGCACTTGCTTGAGAATCCTCAAACCAGTGGTCAGGAGAGGCTTCTCACAGACCTCTACGCACTCAGGCCAAGCAGCTCAAACGCTTCTTCTTCCGAGATCATGGATGCCTCGATAGTGCATTGCATGGCTGCAGAATGTTGCAGAGACTTTCCCAGCTCGAAACTCCGGGGCATGAGCACTGAACTCGTCCTGATTGGCTTGTAGCAGCCTGCAGAGCAGCCCAGAGAGTGCGAGCCAACTACTGCGGATGCATTCTTTGGACCCCTTGTAAGCGAGATCGAGCCACGATGGAAACCCCGTGCCCCACTTGACTATTTTGGGGATGTGGACAGACGGTCGACCAAACACAAACACTTCGGCGTAAAGCCCCTCTAGCGTGCACATCCAGGGCTGGGCTCGGGATCCCAGCGAATACAGCTGAGACTGGGTTTCTGGCGTGCGCTTTATGAAAAACCATCTTGAAGATTAGTCCCGGAGAGCGCAAAACATGGCAACACTTCAAAGTAACCCGAGTCAACTTCAATGGAATCCGCATGCCATCTGCTTGATTTTAGCCCGGTGCTACCATGTTCGAATCATCTGTATTGATTCAGAGCTATAAGTAGTCTCGCTATGAAGCTTAAACAGATGCCTCACGCGCCGTTTCTACCCAATCCAACATCATGCGCACACAACTGTTATGTAGTCAATTGACAAAATTTCTGTTGTGGCTGTCATGTAAACCGAAACCTTACAGATGAACCATGAAGGAGGCAGATCAAACAGGGAGGGTGCGACGCATTGGCAGCCATCATTGTTGCAAGGATCGGTTTTCATACATTGAGCTCCCGTATTGGCACCATAACCTACAAGAGCCTGTTCTTCTAGGGCTTCGGACGTAGGATATGCCATCAGGTGTGGAGGACTGACAATTGGCCTCGTCTCTTTAGGCATTATGTTTGCCCGTTCTTCTGGCTAGAGTTCCGCATTTGGCAAGCTCGATGTTGTTGACAATATCTAAGTGTTGCTACTCTCTGACTCTATTTCTGTTTGAGGTTCCTCACCCTTGGAAGTTCAAGTTAGACGGTGCATTGGCTTTGCCATGCCACAGCGTCCCTTTCCGAGAGATCAAGCTTGCGGTGCTACAGTATCGCGCCTCCACAGATCCCCAGCGCCGCAGAGCTCCGTCACAAGGAACAGGTTCTTGTCCTTGAGATGACAGTGGCGATACCGTGCTGGCTGAACGAAACACTCTCACTAAGGGGCGGACATCCTCGAAGATCTCGAGCAAACGCAAAATGTTCGGATGGTCTGTGACCTTGAAACAGAAAATACGGAAAAAAGAGGCCGCCTAAACCACATAAGAAAAGGCAAGCACGTTTTGAGAAACTCGCATGGAGGCTTCAACTCGACTTTGGCTAGGAGGTGGTTGTGCGATAGAATCTGTGCATCTCTTCTTCGTGTAGGTCCATAAGACCGAAACCAACGTCTGCTCATCACTTGCGACAGCCTGCTGAGCGGCTGTAGCTGCATCGGGACGTGCCTCCAAGTCACTGAGGGCAAATCGCTTTCCAGTGTCCCAGCATAACAGACCCCCCTGCACAGCCCTGGGAGATCGTGATAGAGCACCAACACTCGTTGCTGTGCCTCATGTCCTCTGTATCCAGCTTTGACCAAGGTCTCAGACATCCCTAGATGGAGAAAGTACCCAGCGACACCAAGCCTGGTGCAGTTCCCAGGCACGGAGGACTGCAAGTCTTCATGATCTGCCACGAGTCCATGATAGTCCAGGCGTTCTCCGTTCTCCATTTCAGCTTGGAAGGCGCCGGATTGAAAGAGACTACGCGGTCGATTGTGGACTTTCAAGCATGGATGGATCTTCTGCCAAACCTCTTCGAGTCACAGTTGGTCTTGGACCAAGGTTGCCTGGAAAAGGTTGTTTGCTCAGTGATCTCGATGGAAAGGAGCATTTCTTCACAAGGATCCGCTGACTGAAAGGCTCGGTTGGTGTGTGTGTGTGTGTGTGTGCGTGTGTGTGTCTGTGTGTCTGTGTGTCTGTGTGTCTGTGTGTCTGCGTGTCTGTGTGTCTGTGTGTCTGCGTGTCTGCGTGTCTGCGTGTTTGTATGTCTGGGTGTCTGTATGTCTGTGTTTCTGTGGGTTTGTTATCTGTGTGTTTGTGTGTCTGTGTGTTTGTGTGTCTGTGTGTTTGTGTGTTGGTGGGCTTGTGTGCTTGTGTGCTTGTGTGCTTGTGCGCTTGTGCGCTTGTGTGCTTGTGTGCTTGTGTGCTTGTGTGCTTGTGTGTGTGTGTGTGTATGTGTGTGAGTGTTTGTGTTTGTGTGTGTTGTGTCTTGTGTGTTGTGTGTGTGTGTGTGTGTGTGTGTGTCTGTGTTGTGTGTGCGTGTGTGTGTGTGTGTGTTTGTGTTTGTGGTTGTGTGTGTGTTGTGAGTGTGTGTGTGTGTGTGGGTGTTGTGTGTGTGTTATGTATGTTGTGTGTGTGTGTGTTGTGTGTGTGTTGTGTGCGCTGTGTGTGCGTTGTGTGTGTGTTGTGTGTGTGATCTGTGTTGTCTGTGTTGTCTGTGTTGTCTGTGTTGTCTGTGTGGTGTGTGTTGTGTGTGTGTGTGTGTGTTGTGTGTGTGCGTGGGTTGTGTGTGTTGTGTGTGTTGTGTGTGTTGTGTGTGTTGTGTGTGCTGTGTGTGCTGTGTGTGCGTTGTGTGTGTGTGCTGTGTGTGTGTGTGTGCTGTGTGCTGTGTGTGTGTTGTGTGTGTTGTGTGTGTTGTGTGTGTTGTGTGTGTTGTGTGTGTTGTGTGTGTTGCGTGTGTTGTGTGTGTTGTGTGTGTTGTGTGTGTTGTGTGTGTTGTGTGTGTGTTGTGTGTGTTGTGTGTGTGTTGTGTGTGTTGTGTGTGTTGTCTGTGTTGTGTGTGTTGTGTGTGTTGTGTGTGTTGTGTGTGTTGTGTGTGTTGTGTGTGTTGTGTGTGTTGTGTGTGTGTGTTGTGTGTGTTGTGTGTGTTGTCTGTGTTGTCTGTGTTGTCTGTGTTGTCTGTGTTGTCTGTGTTGTCTGTGTTGTCTGTGTTGTGTGTGTGTTTTGATTTTGTGTGTGTTGTGTGTGTTGTGTGTGTTGTGTGTGTGTTGTGTGTGTTGTGTGTGTTGTGTATGTTGTGTTGTGTGTGTTGTGTGTGTTGTGTGTGTTTTGCGTGTTGTGCGTGTTGTGCGTGTTGTGTGTGTGTGTGTTGTGTGTCTTGTGTGTGTTGTGTGTGTGTTGTGTGGGTTGTGTGCGTTGTGTGTGTGTGCTGTGTGTGTGTGTGTTGTGTGTTGTGTGTTGTGTGTGTGTGTTGTGTGTGTTGTGTGTGCTGTGTGTGTGTTGTGTGGGTTGTGTGTGTTGTGTGTGTTGTGTGTGTTGTGTGTGCTGTGTGTGTGTGTGTGTTGTGTGTGCCGCGTGTGTTGTGTGTGTTGTGTGTGTGTGTTGTGTGTGTTGTGTGTGTGTGTTGTGTGTGTTGTGCGTGTTGTGTGTGTTGTGTGTGTTGTGTGTGTGTTGTGTGTGTTGCGTGTGTTGTGTGTGTTGTGTGTGTGTGTGTGCTGTGTGTGTTGTGTGTGTTGTGTGTGTTGTGTGTGTTGTGTGTGTTGTGTGTGTTGTGTGTGTTGCGTGTGTTGAGTGTGTTGTGTGTGTTGTGTGTGTTGTGTGTGTTGTGTGTGTGTTGTGTGTGTTGTGTGTGTGTTGTGTGTGTTGTGTGTGTTGTCTGTGTTGTGTGTGTTGTGTGTGTTGTGTGTGTTGTGTGTGTTGTGTGTGTTGTGTGTGTTGTGTGTGTGTTGTGTGTGTTGTGTGTGTTGTCTGTGTTGTCTGTGTTGTCTGTGTTGTCTGTGTTGTCTGTGTTGTCTGTGTTGTCTGTGTTGTGTGTGTGTTTTGGTTTTGTGTGTGTTGTGCGTGTTGTGTGTGTTGTGTGTGTTGTGTTTGTGTTGTGTATCTCTGTGTGTGTGTTGTGTGTGTGTTGTGTCTGTGTTGTGTGTGTGTGTTGTGTGTGTTGTGTGTGTTGTGTGTGTGTGTTGTGTGTGTTGTGTGTGTTGTGTGTGTTGTGTGTGTTGTGTGTGTGTGTGTTGTGTGTGTTGTGTGTGCTGTGTGTGTTGTGTGTGTTGTGTGTGTTGTGTGTGTTGTGTGTGTGGTGTGTGTGGTGTGTGAGTGTGTGTGTGTGTGTGTGTGTTGTGTGTGTGTGTGTTTTGTGTCTGTGTGTGTTGTGTATGTGTGTTGTGTCTGTGTTGTGTCTGTGTTGTGTCTGTGTTGTGTCTGTGTGTGTGTGAACCTCCCTAGCACATGGGAGCAGAGGGTCACTCCTTATTGTTTGCATTTTCACAGTATTTTCAACGAAACATATGTGGACAAATACCATAACATTTGCAGGGGAGTGTGGCACTTGCGTCCTACCACACTCAACGAAGCTGTGGACGCAAGTGGGAAGCGGGACCTGATCAGTCCTGTGTACCTGCATGGCAGCCCCCTGTGGTGCCAAGATTAATTCAGAGACAGGCCCCCTGTGGTGTCCGGATTAGACAAACAACTTTATGATTGTACGTTTGCGACGATCTGACATGTGCCTGCAACAAACACAACATCCCTCTCTTTTTCCTCTTGCACTCGTACTCTTGGCCGAATCAGTCAGTGTGACTATCGTGGGTCCCGAGACCCCTGAGCAGCGGCTTTCCGTCATGGCGCCGTGGTGTTCCTCCGAATGGGAAACCGGTGATGAACCGGATGTTCAGACTCTCGTTCAGACTGATCAGATCTCCCGATGCTCTTTATGATTACTTTCTCTCTCTCTGATGCCTGCACGCGAGTCTGACATGAGCGCAGTTGCAGTAACGGTCGGCTAATGCGGTAATTGCGGCTAGTGAGCAGGAGCTACCTCGCTAGTCTGTCCCCTACTCGATCGCTTCTTTATTCCTCAGGGAATGCAAGGGCATGAGTTTCTGACATGAGTGCAGATGCGGTAACCTTCGTCTAATGCAAGTGGTTGCAGCTTCCTTCGGGAAGTAATCGGCCTCTCCTTTGCTTCTTCGACTTCTCTCAAGACAACAAGGCCTCGACTGCCACAGATTTGCATTTCTTGTGCCATCAATTCCGTTTCACCATCATGTGGTATCCACAACAGCAGCATCCGACAGTGCTACAGCAAGGCACTGCCTTCCCAGGGACATTCCCACCTAACGTGGTGGCTACCCCACAGCCACTACAGGCATTTCAACAACAGTGGCATCTTACCGACCTTCCTACGGGCAATCCAGCCACATTCTACAACCCATGTGGGCAAACAATGCCCACACAGCAGTATCCCATTTTCTTACCACAACAACCCACACCACAACCACAGCCCCAATCAGCGACATTCTCACCATTGATGCAACAACAGCCACCCCAGCAAATCATGCAACCACACATGCCACAACACTATTTTCCCACTGCACAGACAATCAGCCCCACAGCCATGCAGCCAAGCCCAACACAGCCTCCCACCGCACCATTTGCTCACCCCACATTTTCGGCACAGACCACCACACGAACATCAACACCCCACCACCACCACTGCCTCACATCTCCCCATCTCACACGGACAACACCACAACCATTTCTCCTCCACCACCACCATCACAACCACCATCCACATCGACTCCAACAGTCACTACCCACACCAACCCACCCGGCCCGACAACAACTACAACAACAGACAACCCAGCAGTGGATTCACAGAAGCCGGCTTCTCCTTTGCCTCGCCGACGCGACAAATCCCACCACAGACACCACTCCCGCGCACGCAGCTACCATCGACATGAGGACGCGCCCAAGACAAGACGGCGACGCTCCCGGCGCAACAGCCGAAGCCGGAGCCGGAGCAATCGAAAAGCCTCAGAACGCCGTCATCGACGATACAAAGATACCACCCCCAGCAGCCACCGTTCTCATCATGACAGCAGGAGCAAAAGCAAGGGCAGTCGGAAACCCCGACCCACAACAGTCATCTTGCGCAGCCACTCAATGGTACAGGACGACCGCTGGCACTACAGACGTGGAAACAGCCCACGAACCTCACAACACAACACACCAACAAACAAAACACTGCCACTTCCTCCTCCCCCACCAGTACCTCAACAGCAACAGTCCACACCAACACAGTCATCACGCCAACTTGCAGCACAGTTCCGACGAGTGGCGCAACAGATCCGCAGCCGACACACTACCCCCCACTCCACTACCTCAACCCCACAGTCCTCCACGATTTGACCACACACCGGGACCCAACGGGTCAATGCTCAGCCACCCCAGAGCTTCGAACAACTGGGTAAACACAGCAGACCACCACAGGTCGATATCATCCCCTTCTCTGAGCTTTTCGATCATGAAAAACCGACCCCTCACGCGGTCGACATCGAAGACGCACAGAAATTGGCCAAAACTCTGGCCGAGATTGCAGCGGAAACCAACATCAGAGAAGAGACGTTGGTCGAGTTCGCATATGCAGTGTACCAATCCGGTACACGATCGGCATGTGAAGAGCTCAGCGCAGTTGTGACGCCGGTGTCGGACGGTGTCCATACTATGTTATTTATCCCCTGGAAAGGGGAAACCAGGAGGGCATTCGGAACTTCTGCAGCCGACCCTCCGGGGGATTATTACATCTATACCGCGGGGCACGGTACGGATTTAGCAACCGCCGCGAAGATCATGAGGGAAGACCTCGTTCGCCCCACCTCGATCAAGCATACTTTCGATGGCAACAATTACACTGAAATACCAGCATGTGTGATCTATGGCAATGCCACACCGG